AAATAAAGTTGCACTTTATTTTTATTTTAGAACTATAACGAAAATTTAATGCTTTTCCCGTCCATGATATAATAAAATATAATATATTGTAAAATATAAGATTAAACTCTATTTATCTATCAAATACCGAATCTGAACCTATGAATGCTATTTTATATTCCCTTTACAAATATTCTTTTAGCATAAAAGAAAATTATTTCAAATTATAATCCTCTATGCAAGAAGAAAATTTGCATTCATTATTTACGACATTGATTCGATACATTCCCAACAAGTTTGTGTACTCTCGGGATTCGTGAATGCGCGGGATCATTGTTTCTACGTTTCATTTGCGGCTGTCGGCTTCCACTCTCGCTCTCGGCGAGAGATAACGGCGTAGGAGAGAGAGATGAGGGTCTCCCAACCGAGTATAATTATTAGTCACGCTGTGGTCAGGGAATGTATACCTGGATGTGGCCGCGGTCCGGCCGAGACCAGCGTAGATTCCATGTTATTTCCGCTGATTACATTCATTATCGGATTTAAAGTTAGTAGACCCTTAGTTAAGAGTGTCTCGAGCGTATGTGTGTCTCGTTGAGCCCGCCGAACCTACGACTTTGACTTGGACTCTTGACGCACGAACACGGTGAAGGAACCGACGAGAACCGTATATTAATTTTATTGAGCCACGCCGATTATTTTGAACTCTGCTGTTCTTTACCGCGTCTCGTATTTCATTATTTCTCGTTTCGCCAACGCGAAAAAAATAAACGTCGTTGCTCGGAAACAACTAAGGGGAATCGAATCAATTAGATCAAATTTCGTATAAAATAAAATCATCTCTAAGCATCTCAAGACACACAAAGTAATCCCAAATTAGTATTAACTGCGTATAGAGGAAGCTTTTCACCAATATATAAAATCCATTTTTCTTTTAAGAGATTTGCTACGTTTCTCTCTCTCTCTCTCTTTTCTCTTTTTATTATTTTACAATATTTTAGATTATTAGAAACTTCAATGAAATCATTAATAATAATGGCAATTACATTATTTAATAAAGTTTATTGACGGTGATAAAAATTTGTATTTTGTTTTATTCCAAAAACGGACAGAACTTTCCGGTAGACCTGATATAATGATACTTACATATTTAAAACATCTAATATATTAAAATTTGGTTTAATTAATATTCTGTTAAAAATAATAAAAATAGATTTATTATATTTATTAATATTTCTGAAACTTTGATCAAGTATTGGTAGTTTTTTAACATATTCTTGTTAATAAAGTATTATAGTCTATCACACCACTTATAAACTTATCTCTTCATGATGAATGTTTGTTAATTATATCATTATTAATGATTGTTTATATCCTTCGGTTACATGCGTGATTAATGGTTTAATTTCGAAGCTGCGAGAGAGACAAGTTTTCAGATATCGCATGTCACAAATACTTGCAAAATACAGAGTCGTTTATCAGCGGTGGGATTGCTACGCCCACGCAAGATAATGCGAGAATCGCGTACATATATCGAAAGTATTTTAAAAATAAGCGCTTGAGAGTATACGCGTTGTAAAACATTTTATATTTCTTTCGTACGGCGGCATGATATCGTGAATCAAAGAAAAAGTTTCAATCGAGTGATCAGGTTAGGAGTGTGTGTACGTGTGTGTGTGTTATCGCCTGAATTCAAAATATTTTATCGAGTATCTTCCGATTTCGGCGCATCTAATGAGTAACTTATATTCTTACGATTATGAAAATTAAAGGAAAAATTAATATTTCTTTTCTTCTAACAATAAACAAAAAAATCACACATTTTGATTGCATATTTATAGAATATTTAATAAAATATAACTTTTAATATTCTGTCTTCTTTGTAACTAATTTAATCTTTAACTTTTTCTAAATTACTATCATAAAAAATTGAAATTATTTTATTTTTTCTTTAGATTTAATAATGCTTTTATACCATTTAGCCATTTGCCTTTTGTATATGCAAGAGAGTTATACTTTGCAATATATATCTTACAAGATAAGTTTGACCTTCATCTTGCAGATGCATCAAAGCATGAAATGGTTCAATAAAATCCATGGCATTCTTCCGCGGAGCAATGAAATCGCCGATCGAACGATGATCATATTGACCCCGATCGATACAATTGTGGCCAATTGTCGGTGTTCTCATTCCCGATCAATTGCATTTGCGGTGGGTGCTTGATACAGAAAACAATGCCGTATTAACGAGTTCGCTGACGCGAACGGCGCGCGATCAATGAGCGGCGTTCGAGACGCCCACTCTGAAAATTACGCAAACAGTTGATAAATCTGGCTTTATCTAGTTTTATTCATATGTAGTCGACATGATTCGTTCAGCATATTTTAGTCTCCGATTTTACATATCCCCTTGTCTTGTCTTAAGTTAACCATGATAAACGAATACAAACATACAAAAACACTACGCTCGAAATTGACGATTTGAAAAAATGGCGATAATTACTTTTTTTTTGTAAATACATAATTAGCTTGAAAGATGCAGGTTTATAGAAAGAAATAAAATTAATGAGCATCATTATAGTAATAAATATTTAAATCGTCCGCGCTCATCGATGTATGTATGCAATATATGATTAATACATTAATTAAACTACATAGTTATTTTATGATATTCTCATTTATTTAGAATTTATAAGAAAAATTAACTATTAAATTCAAGAAGTCTGTTATTAAAGTTATAATTAATTTTCTGATATACACTATTAATTGTGGCATTTGCAAAGAAGTTATTAATCGCGGAAGTAGATACTGTCAATCGCACTTAAATTAAAACAACGTGTCGCATCGCGCGCGAAAAACCATGACGTTATTAAAATCTACGATCAGCCTAATTATTATCGACGGGCTTTCTGCGTGGGCTTCGAGAGCCGGTCCCGATACGTCTCGAACAAGATGACGCCGGATAAACTCGTGGCTGACTGCACTATCGATACATTAATTAAAACATCGATGCTCCGGCTGTGACTGGCAGCGAACTCACGCCCAGATTTGATCGCTCGAATATATAACGTCGCACTTTTATTTCGTCCCTGTTCTCTTCGCGCTTGACACATCTTGTTCTTTCTTTGCGCTTGTTTCCGTCTTCTCCTACAACCTCCATCAAGTTTCTTGCATAAATTAATCATTGTATCAGGAGTGGTTAACCCGTTCAAAAGTTTAAAAAGATGATATGTTTCATTTAGATTCTTTTCTTAGATTTTCATATCTTTTTTTTTTCACAATATTGTTAACATATCAAGGGAATAAATTTCTAAATTTTGGTATTTATTAATAAGTATTTTTAAGATATAATTACAATTTTTATGTAATTATTTTCAAGATACAAAAAAGATATTCATATAATTATTTTCTAAATACAAAAATTAAAAAATTCAGAAATATATGATCATATCATTCTGATCTGTTATAGTCATTAAACAAATTATTTAAAGCGTATTTGAAATTTAGTTTTAAATGCAAATAATTCGCGATGAAATCTGGAGACATTCTCTATAGACCTCGCCACCAGTTGCTTCGAAATTACATTACACCCCATGTGCCGCTATGCTCAGCGTGGGACACGACAGCGAATAAATCTCAACCCCCGGTGGACGTACCGGGGGCGGCAGCGGACGACTTCCGAGAGGGGCGCATGGTAGTACACGCTCTACCCTCGAAGAAGGGCGCGTCTCCAAGGGAGGAGTCCAAGCAATGAGGGTGCCGAGGAGGCGGTGGAGGAGAAGGGACGAAGGGAGGAATTGCGGGACGCGGCGTGGGAACCAAGAGGGAGAGAAGGCTTGCCATCCTTCGTCGGAGAAGGGGAACGACAGGGGGGAGGTGAATTTTGCAACCCGGAGAGATCGTCGACGACGAAAATCGTCGTTGCCGCTTAGTCGTCTCTCGTTCATTGACACGCGTGGGTTTGTTTTTCAATCTCGGCACGAGACGCGTCGGCGAGTTGTTCGGGTGTGAAGGAGGAGATAGCTCTCTCTCTCTCTCTCTCTTCCTGCAGTTAACATATTTTTAATAATTACATTAACTAACATCATTCTTAATAAATATATTAATAATAAATATCAATTTATTACATATGCAGGAAAATTTATCGTTCATGTTTTTACCGGTGTGTAATATTATGCAAGAATATCGCATGTTTATATTTTTGAAGTAATTATAAAAATAATCGCGAGAGAGTTATTCTTTTTGTTAATGTTTTGATATATTATGAAATGCATGTTGTGTCCCGGGAAAATTGCCAAATTACGACTTATATAAAAATTTCCTACAATGGTGGAGGTGATACATCCTACATATGTAAATGAAGAACGGAATTTTAAAGTGGTGAGTACAATTGCGTATAAAAATAGTTAGTTGCTAAACTATTATATCATTATCGGCAAAACTCGATAGTTTTGTAATAAGAGTGCTAACATTATTACCCGCATAAGAGTTCTTATCGATGAGATATTTTATATTTTACTATATTTATCATTTCAACATTACACACGCTAACAATAAATATAAAAATGAAATCACTGTATACATATATAATTATGTGTGATAGACATTTCATCACAAATCAATCATGTAAAAATCTTCTTCGCAATGTATTCTATATTTGTTAAAGAAATCGTTCTCTCTCTTGTATCGAAAGATCATATTTCATCAAAAATTTTAAGCAATTATTTAATTAACAAATCGAAATGATGCAATAATCTAATTATTCATATCGGTCAAATGTTACCAGTCGCACTGTTATTAATTTATCAGACATGTGAGACTGCATAAAGCGATATCTATGCACCGTGAGACATTTCCGAAATAAACACGTGTTCGAAGGAACCCAAAAAAAAATTTTTCGCTAATTATACGAGAAATCGAGGTATCAATTGAAGGAGAGACGGAGAGATAGATACGGCGCGAACGAGAGGCTGGCCAGCCAGGGAGAAACGTGTAGAATAAAAAGGGGGAACGCGCGCAAGATGCCCGATGTGAAGAGGAAGGAGAGGGTGCCCCGTAAGAGAGAGGGGCCCCGGAGAAACGAGAGGGGACCATGCGTACCCCCACTTTCGTCTGACCCTCTCTCCCCCTACCAAGAGACTTGTGTCGCGTGTCCCATCTCCCACTCCTCTTCTATCGATACATACAACACCGACACTACGGCTGCCGCGAATCGGATGTATCAGCACATTCGTAAGCGTCCGTGTATGTGTGTCTGCAAGTGGTTTTGCTGCAGTTGGTGGCGCGTTCATCTGATGGAAGACACGGCCTGATTGTCGTGCAAGAGAGAGAAAGAGTGAAAGAGGGGGTGGTCTGCGCGGTTGGGGGGATGAAGAAGGGGACTGCCGTGCGTGTCGGAGATGATGCGTGCATGCGCGCGCGCGGCGGTGTGTTGGCGGCCACGCGTGTAGTGGAGAGAGAGATCTCTCGGAAGAGAGAAGAGACGAAGAAGAGAGAGGTGACTTCTCCTCAGGGGCCTTAGTCGCCGACTGTCCGCTACTACGCACGGTGTTACACCATCATCGTCATCGCGTTTGACCCTCTCTTTCTTTCCTTCGTCGCTCTCCATCCCTCCCACTCCACCCTCACTCTTTCTCTCGTTCTCCCCCTCTTATCTGTTGCGGCGCATATACCTTTGATCTCGGTCATTTTCGTGTATCCCACGTGAAGATCGCGCCTCGAAGCGCAGTGTCCTGTTCAGAATCCTTGGAGCGACTATCACGTGTCTCAGAAAGATTCGGCACAACTGGATCAGTCACATCTTCAAAAGGAGATTCGTCAAAGAGGAAGAAAAGTTTCCGACCATAAGCTTCATGATAGAAGATCGTCATATATGAGAACGTAATCTTTAGAAAGAATTCTCCTCGATAGCTTAAGATATCGAGAAATTTTGTTATCACAATTTGATTTTCAACACGACAGAGACAATATTGAATCGACGGTTATAATTCTCGTTCGAAATTTCTTGGAATTCGTCTGTTTACGGAATAGTCATTTCCATGATAAATTCACGACGACCGTGAATATGCCGAGCGGAGTATAAACAAGATCATTAGCACTAGATTCTCGAATATATCTTCAAATATGCGTATTTCACACACTGTGAGAGCGCTTACATTGTCAAAAACATCTCTCTGTATCTTTCTCTTCTCCCACACAAACTATGAATATGACTGTGGTTCAAATTGATGGGTGATTTAAGAAAGACACAGTCAAAGGCTTGACGACAAAGGAAACGAAACGTTACCAATCAGCTCCTGATTACACCGCTTTCTTTTTCGTGGAAACGAAAGTTGGCTTGTTTGAAATGCGAGATTCGAAAAGTGTAAAACATAAACGCATGATATGAATCCGAAGTGAAGTGGAGACTACAGGGTGTTGACTGAAGTGTATTGGCATTGAAAAGTGCTCTCCATCATCGCCATCATTGAACGACCGTCGACAAACGGATTCACGCTGCCATCTGCACAAGAGGTGAGAGATCGTCGTAATAATACTTCCTTGAAAATCCTTTCGAATCGACGCGGTCATTAATTCTAGTTTCAATCGTATCTATAATTATGTTATAAACAAAGAGTCGCAAAAGAATTTGGAAAAAATTACAAGTCATTCCCCACAATATTTACACGTTATTAACATATTTTGATATTTTAAACATATTTTAATTAAAACTCTACAATTTTCTTAATAATAAATATATGCTATATTATATACGGAAAGATTTAAAATAATTCTAAGTAATTAGCGATTGAAAAATTGATGCCCACAATTAAGGGCATTCATTCATTTACATTCATTTAATGTCATTTGATTAAAAAATGCAAGACATTAATATTATCGATATAATCATTTTGATGTATATGTGTATGTGTTGTAATTACTTTAGGATTATTCATTAACTATTCGATATTTTTCCGAGTTTCATTATACATTAATAGAAAAGAATAAAGAATTCCTGATAAAATTATGAAACACTTGGGCATCCGTATCGCCAGAGATTATCGGCCGGAGATATCACGAAAGTTAGTCCACTAATTGTTTTGAGATGGCGGGGGTATAAGGTACATCAGTTTTTGATACAACAACTAAATCATTAAAGAGAAACAGTAGTTTGCCTTATCGCGAAACATTGATATCAGGCAATCTTTTTTTCTCCGCCATGTTTTGACAATAACTAAATCGCTCCTTTATTCACCGTTTTGGCTTGCATACGTCAACTGGATGTCAGTTCCGACTCAGCGACAACCAGGCCCGACGTAAAGCTGTCAGCGATGAAACAATAAACGTGCGTTTAACTTTATGAGCGTCTTCTCGAACAAACGCGCATTCGGCAAGAATAAATCTTGGAATGATATCATTTACGGGGAGAGAATATGACCGATAGAGAGGGAGAGAGAGAAAGAGGGAGAACGCAAGTACATATATATATCGGCGCTCCTTCGCTCGCGCGTTTAACGAGCGCCAATAAAAATATCTAATAAGCTACCGCGCCACAATAATTAATTCCGGCAACAGCATTAATCGTTGCCATCGGGACGGCAATTATTTTTAAAAGTACCGCCGTTACGCGTTTCGTCGTAAAACTCGTATACTGCCCGTGCTTTTTTCCTACCCGATGTCTCCCATAGCGGCGTAAAACAGACAATTCTCTCGAAAAGCAAGGCGCGCGTTTACCGCGCATATAAACAAAGCCTTTCTTCAGAGTACTTGAATCCAGGATAAAATATTATCCGAGATTTTCTACACGAGCTAGTTAAGAAAAATATAATTAATAAAATAATTGCTCTATATATATATATGCACTAGACTATATTGTAATATTATTTATAAACTTGATGTAAAAAAAAGTGATGTTAGAGATTTATCATGTATTTATCGATACTGATCTTCTATCCTTCATCATCATTCACGAAAGTGTCTGAAAGACTTTTAAAAACACGTAGTTTGTCTAATTGTAAGCGGAAAAGAAATAGATACGCTATACCTGTAAACGCGAACATCCGCAAAAAGTCTCTTGAAAATTCGATGCAAAAATTTCTGAGTTATCGCAAAAAGACAGAGAACCGTATAAATCACGCACGAGTATGCGGAATAGACAGAAAAGAAGTGAGAGGTGCACATTACAGACGGATACACACTATATAATACAGACACGCTGTCATACAATAGCAATAGACGCGCGTATGCTGTGTTATAACACACGCGCGTTTCGGTACTTACATAATTCGCGTATGTTACAGGTAGTAACGCGGGTAGCCGACATGCAATCCGCTCATTCTTTCGCAGTAGAAATTGATTGCATCTGATACAAGCAGTAGCGCGTAAAAGCACGTCAAATAGCTCTGGGAGAAAGAAAATAGACCATTCCTTCGCTTTGCAATGCGCGGAAATCACCTTTTAACCTCTTTCTTTCCTTCTTTATCTCTCTCGTGTAATACATCTTTTAGACATTTATATCTTTATATTACATTAATATGAACAGGATTGGAGGAGAGAGAGATGGGATTATTTATATATTCCATTTTACTTTATATATTCCGTTTATACTTGCTACTATATATATATTATATATATATATATATATATATATATATATATATACGTGTGTGTTAATAATTTTTATATATTTCTTAAGACAAAATCATTTCAAAGCGTTTTTTCTATCTATCATTTATTTTAAGTCTAAGTAGAGCTATAAAACAAGTTTAATAATTCGACGCAAGTTTATCTTTAATCTCTTTCTTAAAATTCGCACATTTTCAATCTTGATTATTTCTTGTTAATTCTACATTTAAGATTAATTTTCGAATCACTCAAAACTTGCACGTCTTATTTTTACACGAGACGTTTTATTTTATACAATAATTTGTTACCTCAGCACCGAGAATGCAGCAATTGCTTTCCGATTTAATCTCGCAACACGTTTGATAGATCCATCGCGCGGAACATAGGAGCGAATCAGTATCTATTCTCTATTATTGTAGAAGGAACCTTCACGCATCCAGCTTTGTCCGGTGTGTCGCATTCCTTAGTTTCGGGATTATAATGTAAACCGTTTTTACATTCTTGGATTTGCCATTCTTCATCTATACATTCTTCATACAAAGTGCATTCACAAGGGCGACCACGTGGCCTTCGATCGCCCTCCGCGCATGGCGACGTGGGGGTAATAGTTTCACCGCAATTCCCGCCCGCTCGATCCTTAACGCATTCCTGACACGTCCGACTAAAGCATCCCTCTTCACAAGTGCGTTCTTTATAACCATTGCAATCGATGTAATTGCAGTCATTTTTTGGATCGGATATCTTGTCTGCCGGCGAGCACTTGTCATCGACACTTGCCTCCGTACAATTTTCGCAACCAGCCTGCCACGGCCAATCGCAAACTTGTAAGCGTCTATTGTAATGCAGTCTTTTTTCCTGGTTATCCGGAATCATCAGAGGACAATCCTGCAATACCGGAACACCCCAACTGCACTTATAGAATTTCGTGCAGTCGTTCTCATGCGGCAGGTTGGTTGCATATTCCTCTGGATATGGGCATTTTGTAACAGGACATTGTAATTCCCAATCGGCCCAACTCCCAACGGCCCAAGATGACAACAAGACGATTATGTACATTTCTGCCAAAAATTATTTCTAAGCTGTCAATTGCGATATATAATCGAATCGCGGTTTAATGAACTTTTGTTAATAGCAGAATGTGTTAATTATTTATATAAATCTAAATTGATAAAAAAACTTCTGGTACGAAATGTGTAATACAAGCATATATTGATCGTTTAATATTATTATAATGTTATTTTAAAAATTTGTTAAAAACAATTTCAGCACTTACCCTTCATTGCCTATCGTCTATTCAGCTTCGCGCTCGAAGAGAAGAAAACGTATCGTTCGTTTCGTTAACACCTCTCTGATCCGTTTAAATGTGCGACTGAGTGAATTCAAGTGGGTCGGCTTTTATAATATTGTATTCATCGTTATCACGAAACATACGTGGATTACAAACGGCACAGATTATCATATCTCTATCTTCCAGGATAACATATCGAAAATATGTTTTCCTCGTAATCCGGAAGAGTGGATTATTGGCATATTATTTTACAGAAGAAACCTTATCAGAATATGTGATCATATACATATGAACAATTTTCGTTGGTCGTGAATTGATAGTTTAGAAAATATGATGCAAGAGTTGTAAAAAATTATGATTACATTTTATATCATATTATTGATAAAAGATACATAATAAATTAATAAAGTGCAAAGGAAACTTTTAGTATGATTTTCATTTCAATAACAAACGAAATTCATAAAACATTTTATCATTCGATGATTTCTTGATACATTACATTGAATTGCGATTTATGCGTTCGTAAATTTTTGAATTTGATATAGTCTTTCGTGTGTTATCAGCCCAAGCCTTGAAGTTCAATGTGATATCTAAATCGACCTTTGGTCGCGATATTATCAAAAAGCTATTATCAGAAATCCGCTGTATACATATATCGATGAAAAAACAGATGATTAATATAAATAAAATTTTTTCACGTATATCCGAATGAGATAAGCGAATGTAATAGGCTAATCCTGCGAGTTCAATATCACTGCGCATCGACGACTAGACACATAATGACATCAAAATACAGTAAGATACGGTCAACGTGACATATTTTCCGTCGTCGAGAAATTCTGGACCTAATGATATCAAAATCTTGGTCCAATATTCTGATGGCATAACAAGTAACCAGTTGTTCTGCCGATATTACTTAATATTACTCACTATATTATGGGTACAGTAACACGAAAAGAAACATCTTAACGTTCGAAGTTGTATGTATACGAATGTATACGAGCATATAAACCCGCATGAGTGCCCTGAACATTTTGTTACTTCACAATTGTTCAGGATCCTTGTTAAATTCGCATAACTAAAGTATATCATGTATTAATTACCCAAATTATATTATTAAATTTAGAATGTAATCACTATGATTGCAATCAATCAATATGTTCACAATAAATACACATAATAAATTTATTGAGCTTTCAACAATAAGTTATATTGGAAAGCTAACTCTATTTTTAATTTTTCTTATAATATATATGAAAGAAAATAAAAATATAAAAAAGACAATATTAAATATTTAGAATTAAGCTAACAAAAATAAGATATAAATATTAAATAATACCGATATCTCTTATTTAATACCGATTAATATCAAAATGTCATTATAGCATCGTTATTTATTGTGACAACTGACGAGAACAGAATATATTATTTTATTTTATTTATATATGATGTGTTTATTCAATAATAAATAAACTTGATATGAAAAGAAAACTAGGAACACAATGCACAATTAATAAAATTCTTTGAGACACACGCGCGTCATAATTCTCGAAGGAATTTCGCCATCGATTGATTTGTTATTCCTTTCGTCGTGTCGTAGCGTATTGATACATAAACAAAACTGTAAACGCGAAATACAACCAAGTGAAAGTCGTTTTAGTCGGACTTGTTTTGCCGGATCTATTATTTGTAATTTATTAACAATGTTATGACGATGGCGATGTTCGATACAAAGTTTGCGATATGTCAATGCCGTAAAGAAATTCTAACATTATCGTGCGTGCTAACAATAATTAACAATTGAGCACGTTGCAATAATGTATCGATCAAACGATATGAGAAGCTCTAATTTGTCTATTATTGATTTTATATTTATAAAAAGAAATTGTTTTCATAATCAGAATTTTCAAAAATACAATTTTTTACATATCATTTATCAATTCAAAATTAATGTATTCTTAAAAAAATACAATATATTCTCCATATAATTCAAATATGAAAAATATAAAACTCGTATGTATATTTCTATCAAGTTATATATTATTTCGTCGTTAAATTTATTTTATTTTTTATTTCGACTTTATATTGCTTTCTTAATAAAATGCTTTTCAAGCTGTACATCACTTACAAAATTTGATAAATCCAAAACTGATTTACTTTCTAAATTCCAAGGGCAACAAAATTGTACCCTACATTTCGACATGGCCTGCTGTGGAAACACTGTTCCTTCATAAATCTCGATGCGATTCCAGTTATCGCATTGAAACGGGCTGCCGCTTGACGGCAATTTGTTATCGGCGGATTTATTGCATCTAAGCGGCTGTCGTAGAACGACGTAGCAAACGAAAGTATCTATTCAGGATCGCGATTTCTGTCGACAGTATGTCAGCTTATAGCAAGGAAATACCAACGCGCGACACCGTAACCCTTGCACGTACCGGTAGCATAGGAACTAGAGGCTATGGATGTACAGGCCTTATTGCATATATATGTGCATTATATATCACACTATATAGCTTCCGTACTTGTACACGTGCCCGTACTTGTACGCACGCACGCACATATGTACGTACGCCTTACGAACTGGATTACGTGCACACGTTACACGTATAAATACATTTCATGTCGAGATCATATGCGTGTGTGCGTGTACACGTCTGCCCTAGAGGAGACAGATGCGTAGTGCGCACGCATTTGCCTTCCCGGCACGCAAGCATTTTCATGCAACTCTTTTCTCTCGCATAACAGACTTTCCGAGTGATTCCGTGACCGTTCAATGAGACGTCTTAGCTTTAGGTTTGGTCCTATAAACGTTTCGTTACACGCCCTTCAGAATGCTAGAGGATTGCTTTCACTGTCTCTTGTAAACTCGGTGTCCTACAAAGATTCGCTTTTTAGAAGCTTTAACTTTTCTTTCGTGATAGAAAAGAATGCATGCGAGAGCAACATGGACCAGCGCCTTACGGAAATGAGCCATCCGTTAATCCAGTTTAGTCAAGCTATGCGCTTTGAAATTGCATGCTGTTATTAATATTGTCCCGTTCAAAGAATCATAAAAAAAACACGAGATGTCTGCCAGCAGTAGAGAAAAGAACGATGAAAATCGACTGAAGGGAGAGAAAGGGAATATAAATCTTTTCCAAGATTCAAAGATTTTTTCTTTGAGAAGATGAGCGTGCTATGATCGTTATTGTGATTATAAATTTACAATATTTCCCGATATAAAAAACTTTTATCTTTTATTATATAAAATATTCTCATTCATAATTTTACGCATTCGCAGCAACTTATAAAGTTTAATTCTGAGCGTTATAACATTTATACTTTCATATTTCATTTACATATGTGTATTAACTACTATATTTACATGATACTTAATTAATTCCAACATTAATTGAGAAAAAAGTTATAATTAATAATGTTTTCCAACGATTATAATCTTTGTTACTTATTACTCAGTCTCTTACATACAGTAATCGGAAAATTATTCGTAAATTTTTGAATTTGATATAACCTTTTGCGTGTTATCAGTCAAAGCCTTGAAATTTAATGTAATATCAAAATCGGCCTTTGATGGCTTATCAAAGAACGAAAAATTCTGGACTTGATGACATCATAATGCTGACTGAATATTCCGATAACAAGTAGCCAATTCCTGTCGACAATATTTATTGCTATATTATAAGTACAGTAACATGAAAAGATACTTAGCGAGAGTTAAGATCTTAACGTTCGAAGTTGTACGTATATAAATAAACTCGCATGAGAACCCTGAACATTTTGCAATTTCACAATTGTTTAGGATCCTTGTTAAATTTGCATAATTAAAGTATATCGTGTATTAATTATTCCAACTATGTTTTTTTTATTAAATTTAGAGTGTGATCACTATGATTGCATTCAATCTGTTTACAGTAAATATATACAATAAATTCATTGAGTTTTCAATAATAAATTATGTTGAAAAACTAATTCTATTTTTAATTTTTTTTATAATATATATGAAAAAATAAAAATATAAAAAATTAAGACAATATTAAATATTTAGAATTAAGCTAACAAGAAGATATAAATGTTAGATGATACCGGCAATTGGTTATCGGTGGATTTATTGCATCTAAGCGGCTGTCGTGGAATGTCGTGGCAAACGAAAGTATTTATTCAGGATCGCGATCCTGATTTCTGTCAACAGTATGTCAGCTTAAAGCAAGGAAATTCCAATGTGCGACACCGTAACCCTTGCACGTACCGGTAGCATAGCAACTAGGGGCTGTAAATATACATATAAGCTTTTTATATGTATGTATATATATATATATATATATCCACACATTATATATTAGCAGCATGTGACTCATTTCTCTCGCAAATCGCTTTCTGAGCGACCGTTCAATGAGACAACACGTCTTATTGTTATGATAAATTATATCCACGTAATTAAAATAAAGGATTTGCAAACTTTAAATATAGAGATGATAAAAGAAATAAAATGTTTGAAAATATATTATAATAAAATATAATATACTTTTGCATACATGATTGAACTTTTTAACGTAATGATAAGAACCTAAATGGAGACAAATAATATAAGATAAGATATTAATTGCAAGATAAATAAAATTACTAACTTATTCAACTATCTTGATTTACATCTTTCATTGAGTCATTTGATAAATTATTTTAATAAAATAAAGTGAAAGCAAAATTTGTATTTTATTAATTCTAATATATTCATACACACATATTAATATCCTATTCTATTTTATAATTTTTTATTTTTCTCTAAACTTTTATATAGTATATTTTCGTTCTTATCGAACAACATTTATTATATAAAACACGACAATACACTATCGATTCTATGCGTTTCAAGATGCTCGAACTAACAATAAGTCAGGTCACGCCATAATCAGAAAATAAAGTCGCTGCGCATTATTCATCACGGTCATTGAAGATGGGCCCGATTTATATATATATATATACATATATAAAGAGATCTGTACACGTGCCGCGGAGAAATATCTGCAACTTCGGCAGAGCAGCTGGCGGAACGAG